CCACACAGGGGAGAAACCTTTCAAATGCCTGGAATGTGGAAAGAGTTTCCGTCAGCACACAAACCTTGCCAGCCATTTGAAAATCCACACAGGGGAGAAACCTTTCAAATGCCTGGAATGTGGAAAGAGTTTCCGTCAGCACACAAACCTTGCCAGCCATTTGAAAATCCACACAGGGGAGAAACCTTTCAAATGCCTGGAATGTGGAAAGAGTTTCCGTCAGCACACAAACCTTGCCAGCCATTTGAAAATCCACACAGGGGAGAAACCTTTCAAATGCCTGGAATGTGGAAAGAGTTTCCGTCAGCACACAAACCTTGCCAGCCATTTGAAAATCCACACAGGGGAGAAACCTTTCAAATGCCTGGAATGTGGAAAGAGTTTCCGTCAGCACACAAACCTTGCCAGCCATTTGAAAATCCACACAGGGGAGAAACCTTTCAAATGCCTGGAATGTGGAAAGAGTTTCCGTCAGCACACAAACCTTGCCAGCCATTTGAAAATCCACACAGGGGAGAAACCTTTCAAATGCCTGGAATGTGGAAAGAGTTTCCGTCAGCACACAAACCTTGCCAGCCATTTGAAAATCCACACAGGGGAGAAACCTTTCAAATGCCTGGAATGTGGAAAGAGTTTCCGTCAGCACACAAACCTTGCCAGCCATTTGAAAATCCACACAGGGGAGAAACCTTTCAAATGCCTGGAATGTGGAAAGAGTTTCCGTCAGCACACAAACCTTGCCAGCCATTTGAAAATCCACACAGGGGAGAAACCTTTCAAATGCCTGGAATGTGGAAAGAGTTTCCGTCAGCACACAAACCTTGCCAGCCATTTGAAAATCCACACAGGGGAGAAACCTTTCAAATGCCTGGAATGTGGAAAGAGTTTCCGTCAGCACACAAACCTTGCCAGCCATTTGAAAATCCACACAGGGGAGAAACCTTTCAAATGCCTGGAATGTGGAAAGAGTTTCCGTCAGCACACAAACCTTGCCAGCCATTTGAAAATCCACACAGGGGAGAAACCTTTCAAATGCCTGGAATGTGGAAAGAGTTTCCGTCAGCACACAAACCTTGCCAGCCATTTGAAAATCCACACAGGGGAGAAACCTTTCAAATGCCTGGAATGTGGAAAGAGTTTCCGTCAGCATGCAAACCTTGCCAGCCATTTGAAAATCCACACAGGGGAGAAACCTTTTAAATGCCTGGAATGTGGAAAGAGCTTCAGTCACAAGTCATACCTTGATCGTCATCTGAGGATCCACACAGGGGAGAAACCATTTCAGTGCTCGGAATGTGGAAAGAGTTTCCGTCAGAACGCAACCCTTAGGTTTCATCAGCGACTCCATAGTGGAGAAAAACCGTTTAAATGCTTGGTCTGTGAAAAGTGCTTCAGTCGAAGCACAAACATGGTTGCCCATATGAGGATCCACACAGGGGACGAACCAGGAAGAATTGTGTTGGATAGGCTTGGAAACAGTCCTTTGTAAAGAGAGTTGTCTTCAAGGAAGGAGAAGTGAAGCAAATACATACAGTAAAAATGAAGATTTTGCTTTTCCACTCGGAGATTCGCAAGATGCTGTGCTCCAAGAAAACAGAGAAAAAAGGAAAGAAATGGGTAAATGTTCTTTATACGGAAATAACTGTAGTCTAAGTGCTGCTTGGACAATCCACATGGGAGGGAGACTGCTGAAAACCCCAGAAGGTGCCAAGAATCTTTGTGATCATTCATCCTTGGGAATTCATCAAACTTTTCAGAGCTTTGAAAGTAGAAAGAGCCTCCAGCACAGACCGAACCTTGTTTTCCCTCAGGAAAATGACACAAAGAAACCCGTTAAATGTGTAGAATGTGGAAAGAGCTTCAGTCACAACAGGTACCTGGCTCGTCATTGGAGGATCCACACTGGGGAGAAGCCATTTAAATGCTTGGAATGTGGAAAGAGCTTCAATCAAAGGGCACACCTTGCCAGCCATGTGAAAATCCACACAGGGGAGAAACCTTTTAAATGCCTGCAATGCGGAAAGAGCTTCAGTCACAGGTCATACCTTGATCGTCATCTGAGGATCCACACTGGGGAGAAGCCGTTTAAATGCTTGGAATGTGGAAAAAGCTTCCGTCAGCGTGCACACCTTGTCAGCCATGTGAAAATCCACACAGGGGAGAAACCTTTTAAATGCCCGGAATGTGGGAAGTGCTTCAGTCGCAGCGCATACCTGGATCGTCATCTGCGGATCCACACAGGGGAGAAACCATTTAAGTGCTCAGAATGTGGGAATAGCTTTGGCAAGAGCAAAACCCTGAAAAACCACAAGTATGAGAGCCACTGTAGGGATAAGTGACAGATTAGGACTCAGGCGGCCTGAGTTCGAATCCTTGCTACTTTCCCCAGGAGTAGCAATGAGAAACTAGTCCATGATCCTGTCATATCCCTCAGAAACCATTTTAGGATTGCCACAAGCCAGAAAAGGCATAGAACAACAACAACAATAAAATCAACCTTAAATGTGTCTTTAGTGCGTTTTGTAAGGTTACTGTCAGCAAATTTATAAAATTTACTGAATGGTCTGTACTAGATGTGAATACAACAGCTGTAATGACAACATGGAACCTCCAAGTTAAGATACAGTCTATCCCGGTCTCTTCGTGGTGGTGTCTTCGTATAAAAACTAGTAGAAGAGGGGAGCCTCCTTCCATTCCATCATGCTCATGAACTTCCCAGGGTGACTTAGGCTGGCCACTGAGAGAAAGAAAGACTGGTGTTGTTTTTTTTTAATTAAGAAAACACAGAGGCTTTTAAAGAATATAAAAAAGCAGACAAAACCCTAACTCCAACCTACTATATTCCAACAGATGGAGGACTGAGTGAATTTTGTGGCCCAGCTGAAACTTCAATTCAGAGATTCAGTGAAACATTTTGCGTATCAGTGCACTTAGCTATGGGGAGGTGTTCTGTGGGAAATATGGGGCAAAAATGCCCCTTGCTTTTTAACCTGAGAGGAAGTCTCCTTTTATATTTCCTTGTGGGTTCTTTTCATACTGGAGGAGGCAAAACCTTTTCTTTTTCAATGCTCCCAGCTAAACCCACTTCTTATGACTTGCATTCCTAAGCTTATCTATAATTTATTTATTTTATTTATTTATTTTATTTATATACCACCTATCTAGTTGGGTCAGGACCACTCTAGGTGGTTAGAATTCTAAGGGGTTAGAATAATAGTATTGGTTGTTTTAGGATTCCTTTCATGCTATGTTGTTGTGTGTTTGCTTTGTAGCTGCAGGGCTATTTCCTGGGCTCCTGGAGAATGTTGTTTAGCCACTGAAGGGCAGAGTGTAAGTTTTACTAAGAGTGAATTCAGGTCAGAAGGAGATTTTCCCATTCTTCCTCTGCCATGCAAGGCGATTTTGAATAATCTACCGACTTGCCATTTCTGGCTCTTTCGTTTTTCCACCCTTCTTCCTGTTTGTCACCAGGCAATGGTGATCTGTCTCGGTGGCAAAGAGAGTGTCCATGAAATCAAAAACAGCATCCTCCTGAGTTGAGATTTCCATGTGGGATCCCTTCCAAATTACCCCCAAATCCCAGCTGTGTCCACAGAAAGATGCCACAGAAATCAAGGGCTTTGTAGTGGCACCCTTTTTGATTTGTTCTTTTCCCTAAAACTTGGAAAAATCACCCAACGCATCTCTGTGGCTCCAGACTGAACTATAGAAATCACAGTAAAAGCACCCCATCGATATATAAATCTGGATCCACTCCATCTAATCAAAGTTTTTTGCATGGTAGTGCCATGCAACAAGCATCAGTTTGTGCTTTGGCAGTGGTTTGTCAAACAGATGGTGGGGCAATTTGAAAGGATCCTCACACATTTTCTGGGGCAATTTTTTTAAAATTGCAATAATAATAAAAACACCAGAAGTTATTGTCCCATTTGTAGAGAAAAAGGAGACATAAGATCACAGAGAGCTAATGCCTTGGCATTATAATGTTTGGGAGATTTGTGGGGAGGGGATTTTTTTAAAATTGATAAAAAACATACTACGTTTTAAGAGCCTCGTGGCGCAGTGGTTAAAACGCTGTACTGCAGCTAAAACTGTGCTCACGACCTGGGGTTCAAATCCCAGGTAGCCGGCTCAAGGTTGACTCAGCCTTCCATCCTTCCGAGGTCGGTAAAATGAGTACCCAGCTTGCTGGGGGGGCAATGTGTAGCCTGTATAATTAAAATTGTAAACCGCCCGGAGAGTGCTTGTAGCGCTATGGGGCGGTATATAAGTCCAATAAATAAATAAATAAATAAATACGTGGGACACCTGGAGAAACAGCCAGAAAATACTAGCTTGAGTTGTAAAATTCAATATTAATTTGATAAATAAATATATTTGTGACTCTTGTAGAGTGCGACATAGAAGTCGAATAAAATAAATAAAAAAATCTTCCCCTGTGATTCCAAAGCTCACAATAAAACAAAATAATGAAATTGGTAAAATATGAATAACAATGTTATGTTAATTTCTAGCATTAATTCTGTTTTCTTAATTTATGTGGGGCTTACGTATTGCAACACTGAATTAACTAACAGCAAGTTGGGAAGAGCCTCTTTTTCCGTTGACAGCTTCTGTCCAATGAATGTGTTTCACAGCATGAAGGGTTAAAAGCATTAAGTAGAATGGGGTCCTAGAGAGTCTCTCAGACCAGAGGGAAGGAACTCAAAAAAGTCTACTTCCTGGGGTGGTTTTAATCTTTGGTTGTGCAACCTTTTTTTCCTTCCCTCCAAAGACCCTCGCCCTCCTCGGGAGTTCCAGTCGAGATTGCAGATGACTTCGGGGAAGGTTGGGAAGCGGGTGAGCTACTGGCGGGGGACCAAAGACCCTCGCCCTCCTCGGGAGTTCCGGTCGAGATTGCAGATGACTTCGGGGAATGTCGGGAAGCGTGTGAGCTGCTGTCGGGGGAGAGGGAAGGGAAGGCAGGAAGGCAGCGGTGGGAGAAAATGGGGCGGGCGCCTTCCTGGGCTAAGCCTGGGGATGGGGAAGGCTTGGGGCTCAGAGCCGGGAGAAAGGGAGCCTTGGCTTCAGGGGGAGTCCCTGGAAGAGCCAGGCGCCTCTTCCCTTCCCAGGGTGGGATTATTGAGTCTCCTCTGGGGGGAATGACCCCCCCCCAAACTCCCCTCCTTCCTTCCAGCCTGTGAAGCCAAGCCCTCCCCACGGATTCCCCCCCCTTTTGACCTCGGAGAGCTGGAAACCAGTGATTGGCATTTGCACTGGTGGGGGACTGGACTGGAAGGAAGCATACTGGGAAGTGGGGGGGGTTAAGAAAAGTGACCCTCCCTCCCTTTGTTGCCTGGGGAGAAGATGGCTTTCGTCGTGGGGCCCTTTCTGCACAGCAGATCCTTGACTTGCAAAGGCAGAAAAGACCCCCCCCCAATAGAAGAGTGAAAAAACAAGGTTGGGAAGGCTTAATTAGAGGGTGGGTGGAGTTTATTAATCCATTCAATTTTGGGACAGAACCAGTGATCAGGAAACACGGAGGGGCAGGGGGACTCTGTGATCCCTTAGGAGGTGGTCAGGAGGTCCTTCCCCTGTATTTGCCCTCAGCGTCCGGGTTGTTTTCCATGCAGGGGGTGTTCAGAATTGGCCCTTGGGCTCTTCCTACATGGAAGAGCTGAGACACCACCAGACAGATGTCAGAAGAAAACTCAGGAAAAGGGTAGAGCAGCCGCCCTCCACAGTGAGGAATTGGTGGAGTGAGTATTTTATTCTCAGAGGCTTTCATGGCGGGGATCCAGAAGAAAACTCAGGAAAAGGGTAGAGCAGCCACCCTCCACAGTGAGGAATTGGCTGAGTGGGTATTGTATAATCAAAGGCTTTCATGGCGGGGATCCGGGGCGTTTTCAGAGGACAGGAGTCAGAACTCTGTCTGTGCTCTGGTGCAGTTTGCTGTATAGTTAAGTATTTATAGCTATGGGATCAGTGTTTGCCCTTTTCAGGAGATTGGGTAATTATAATGATCAGTGTGTTTTTTTGTTGTGGGTGTATTGTTGTGATAAGTGTGAGAGATGATGTGTCACTGTGATTGATGGGTGTCGTTAGCTGGTAGAACATGCTGATCACCATAATCACCTAATGTCCTGAAAAGGACAAAAGCTGATCCCACAGCTATAAATACTCAACTATCCTACAAACTGCACCAGAGCATAGAGTTCTGACTCCTGCCCTCTGAAGATGCCGGCCACAGAGACTGGTGAAACGTTAGGAAGAAAAACCATAAGAATATGACCAAACAGCCTGAAAAACCCAGAATAACCGTTGAAGTGGGCATTCCTGCCTCTACTGTAATCCATCTCTCATTCTCTAAGGCAGTGAGTGAGTCCTTTTTGACTCTGGCCTCTATGGGTAGATATTGAATGGATTGGTTAGTCAAAACAGGGAGACATATTTTTCCCATGTACAATATAAAGAATGTATGCGTTACAAAAGCTCTCTCTACTCTAGGGGTGGGCAATTAATTTCTATAGGGGGCCACATGAAAAATCTGAACTGTGTTCAGGGATGGGTAGTAATAGGCCCCCATTGGGTGAGGCCCTGCGGTGAAGGAACTACAAGGCTGACAAACTTTTTAGGGAGTTAACTATGTCAGCCTTGTAATTCATTCACCGCAGGGAGGGGGGGGGGAGAAAAAAAAACAGACACTGAGCTAACTCACCTGTCCTCCGTTCCCCCGCGGCCTTCCTCTCTGACTGTCTTCTATCCCACGCAGGTGACGTGATGCGTCATCACGTCGCCTGCGCAAGGATCGCTTCCGGCCTCCAGCATCGGATCTTGCGAGTTTTGCTTACTGCCATGCTGGGTGACCGGAGTCGGAGTTCCAGCTCATTCAGCAGTGATGGGCGAGCTGGACAGGAGCAACGATCGGCAGGCCAGACAGGAGCGGCTCTCGGGCCGTATGTGGCCCGCGGGCCGCACTTTGCCCAGGTCTGCTGTACTCCATTCATTTCCTTTGCAGATTTTGGCATGATGCTTGGGACCTATCCTGGCTCATCTCTTCTTTCTGGAGGAACAGAAACAGTATCTGTGCAACCTGACCTGGACAGTGCCAAGCTGCGGAGAGACGCTGGCCGCTTCCCTCTCTCGGACCTCTCTCTGAACCTCAAGGTATCTGTCTCGTTCAGTCTGCTTTGGCCTGATCTGTACATTGGGAAATTTACGGGTATTGGCCATGAAAAGTTGAATCTTGACCCTGAGCACCAATCATGTTATTTGTTTAATTTTTTTCCTCTTTATTAGTGAATAGAAGCATTGGTTTCTGGGTGAGGCTAATTTCCCCCCCTCTTCTCTCAGGGTATAGTGGTGACCTTTGAGGACGTAGCTGTGTATTTTACGGAGAAGGAGTGGACTCTGCTGGATCCGGCCAAAGGGCTCTCCACAGGGACGTCATGGAGGAGAATTGGGCCAATCTGGTCTCCCTAGGTAGCCTTTATCTTCATCCTCTCTGCTTGAGAATTTTTTAAAATAAATTTCATGTGTTCAGCAGTTTTTTTTTTCCTTCCCGTGTGCTAGGGCAGTGGTCTCCAGATGTTCTTGGACTACAACTCCCAGAAGCCTTCACCACCACCTCTGCCAGCCAGGATTTCTGGGAATTGAAATCCAAGAACACCTGGAGACCCAAAGTTGGGGACCACTGTCTAGGGCTCTGAGGTCTTTTCCTAAAGAGCATTGTGGATGGCAGAACCAACGGTCTTCTGTAGATATCTATCCATGCAGGCTTAATACCGGCTTTGTTGTTGTTGCCCGATTTTTATATTTTGCTTTGTTTGTGTTGCCATGTTGTTTTTACATGTAAAACACCCAAAATAGTATTAGGCGGATGCTTAAAAAATACGGATTATATAGTGGATATAAAAAGTTTACACACCCCTGTTAAATTGTTAAGTGTCTCTGATGTAAAAAAAATGAGAAAAAGATAAATCATTTCAGAACTTTTTCCACCTTTAATGAGACCTATGAACTGTGCAACTCAGTTGAAGAACAAACTGAAATCTTTTAGGTGGAGGGAAGTAGAAATAAAAAACTGAAATAATATGGTTGCATCTGTGTGCAACCTTAAACTAATGCAACCTTAAACTAATAGTTTGGCGAAGCACCTTTTGATTTTAATACAGTACTCAGCCTTTTTGGGTATGAGTCTTATCAATAGGGCACATCTTGACTTGGCAATATTTGCCCACTCTTCTTTGCAAAAATGCTCCAAATCTGTCAGATTGCAAGGACGTCTCCTGTGCACAACCCTCTTGAGATCACCCCACAGATATTCAATCAGATGACTAATAGTTTGGCGAAGCACCTTTTGATTTTAATACAGTACTCAGCCTTTTTGGGTATGAGTCTTATCAATAGGGCACATCTTGACTTGGCAATATTTGCCCACTCTTCTTTGCAAAAATGCTCCAAATCTGTCAGATTGCAAGGACGTCTCCTGTGCACAACCCTCTTGAGATCACCCCACAGATATTCAATCAGATGCAGGTCTGGGCTCTGGCTGGGCCATTCCAAAACGTTAATCTTCTTCTGGTGAAGCCATTCCTTTCTTGATTTGGATGTATGCTTTGGGTTGTTGTCATGCTGAAAGATGAAGTTCCTCCTCATGTTCACCTTTCTAGCAGAAGCCTGAAGGTTTTGTGCCAACCTTGACTGATATTTGGAACTGTTCATAATTCCCTCTAGCTTGACTAAGGTCCCTGTCCCAGCTGAAGGAAAACAGCCCCAAAGCAGGATGCTGCCACCACCTGCATCTAAAATTCTACTCCTCCAGTGGTACTGTAAAGTGTTTTTGCACCAAACCTATCTTTTGGAATTAGGGTTGAAAAGTTCAACCTTGGTTTCATCGGACCATAACATTTTTTCCCCACATGCTTTTGGGAGACTTCAGATGTGTTTTTGCCAAATTTAGTCAGGCTTGGATGTTTTTCTTTGTAAGAAAAGGCTTCCGTCTTGCCCTTCTACCCCACAACCCAGACATCTGAAGAATGCGGGAGATAGTTGTCACATGTACCACACAGCCAGTACTTGCCAGATGTTCCTACAGCTCCTTTAATGTTGCCGCAGGCCTCTTGGCAGCCTCCCTGATCAATTTTCTTCTAGTCTTTTCATCAATTTTGCAGGGGCCGCCAGTTGTTGGTAATGTCACTGTTGTGCCACATTTTCTCCACCTGATGATGACTGTCTTCACTGTGTTCCATGTATATCTAATGCTTCGGAAAGAATTTCGGCCATTTTGGGTGTCCCGGTGGCCATTTTGGGTGTCCCGGCAGCCATTTTTGGTGTTCCGGCAGCCATTTTGGGTGTCCGGCGGCCATTTTGGAACCGCCGAACACCTGTTCCCCCATTGTAATGCGAGCATGCCCTCGCATTAGTGATGGGGAAATCCGCATCGCAGTGCGGATTCATCGTTCAACGGTGCACTCGTTATGTGAGGCACCTCTGTATTTTTTACTTCCTTCCACCTAAAAGATTTCCGTTTGTTGTTCAACTGAGTTCCACAGTTCATAGGTAAAGGTAAAGGTTCCCCTTGACATTTAGTCCAGTTGTGTCCAACTTCTTTCTGGTTTCAATCAGGGGTGTGGTTTGTTTGTTTTTTGTCATTTCAGCTACTGATATGGAAGGAAAGAAGAGTGAGAAAGAAATAAAAAGCCACTCCCTGGGAACAGCCATTAATAAAAAGCAGAAACACGGCCCGAAAAGCACTAATAACAAGAAGGGGAAAGAAACAAATTGTCCAGTGGTCTCCACCGAGCAAGAACAGTATGCATCGGCTTTGATTTATCTGCTGGGCACTGACTTCATTAACCGACATGGCGAAGCAGGACAGTTCATCTATTATCTGCGCCGAAAGCGTGCGGGAGCGAGGCAGACGTGGATTCCTGGTTGGATTCATTACAAATGCAAAAAGTTGATCCTTTTCCGTTGCGCGGAGAGCCCAAAGAAGCCCAAAAACAAGTTGGAACATTTTCATCTGGGCAATCTAGCCAAGAGACTCGCCATTCACCAGAGAACGTGCGCCCCTCTGGAACTCTGCCCTTGCTTGGCTGACTTGCGACAAGTCCACCTGCACCAGATCACCAACGACTGGGCACACCAGTACGAATTCCCCCCAGAAACGTCAGGCTCGCAACCTGGAGCCAGCCAACCTTCCCGAGAACCAAGAGGGGAGCAGCAGGAAGCAGCACTGTAGGGACGGCAAGGGCAAGACGCTGGATCCAGCACGCCCACCACTTCCCGTGACCATAACCTGTACAGGACCCATTTCATTCCAAGATGTGGGTGGGTCTCTTGGTTCACCTACCCTCCCCAAGGAAGGAGAAGAGGCTCTAGATGAAGAACTAACTCTGGATCTCCTTCTGAATGACAGAGAAGCTGATGAGCAGTTGCTGGAAGACAGGGTGGATTTGATTTAAAGCAAATTAATTTAAATCATATTTAAATCGCAATTTAAATTTTAAAAATTGGAATTTCTTTTCCAATTAAAATTGTAATCATCTTTTTTGATTTAAATCATTATTTTTGATCATTTAGAGTGGTGCCCCGCATAACGAGCGCTTCGTTTAACGACAAATCCGCATAGCGATGTTTTTTGCGACCGCAAAAGCAATCGCATAACGATGTTTTAAATGGGAAAACATTGCTTTGCGAAACACTTACCGATTATCGCATAACGATATTTTAAGAACAGCTGATCGGCGGTTCCAAAATGGCCACCGGGTAAATAAAATGGCCGCCTGCAGTGTTTTCGCGCCCTTTCCTTGTTTACCGGGCAGCGAAAATGGCGGCCGCAAGGAGGATTTTCGCAGAACGGTGAGTTTTTTGCCCATAGGAACACATAAAATGTGTTTTAATGCGTTCCTAAGGGCTTCTTTGTTCCGCATAGCAACGAATCCGTATAGCGACGATTTTTTCGGAACGGATTATCATCGCTATGCAGGGCACCACTGTATTTTCATCCACCCAAGATAGATCTATTTTCAGCTGTCAGGCATGAGGGAGTAGTAAGACAGTGGAACCAGTGACCTTGAGAGGTGGCGAGCGCTCCAACACTGGAGGCTTTCAAGAGCAACTTAGACAACCACCTGGCAGTTATCCTTCGATTTGTATTCCTGCACTAACCAGGGGCTAGGCTTGATGGCCTCATGGGCCCCTTCCAACTTCACCGTTTTGTGATTCTATGAAATGTCAGAGTCTGATAAATAATTACGGGGAGGTGCAGAAAATGCAATCTTGAAATTGTGCATTCTACTTTAAAAATCAGTTTTGAACAACAGTTTGTTAAGTGTGGCTGCAAAAGTAGATGCCAGCTCTCCGGCTGTTGTACAAAGTCATTGTGCGGCAACCTGACCTTGTAAAATAATTTTCTGTCCATGGCTGGCAGTTGCACATATTTATGTTGCAATGTGCTAATATGAGTAGAGATGGTATTTGCAGGTCCCATAAGTTACAAAAAGCAAAGTGTACTGCTTCTATACCCCACCCATAGCGCTTAAAGCATTCTCTGGGTGGTTTAACAATTATTCAGGCGACACAATGGTCCCCCAGCAAGTTGGGTCCTCAACTTACCAACCTTGGAAAGATGTAAGGCTGAGTGAACCTTAAGCCATAGCGCTTAAAGCACTCTCTGGGTGGTTTAACAATTATTCAGGTGACACAATGCTCCCCCAGCAAGTTGGGTCCTCAATTTACCAGCCTTGGAAGGATGTAAGGCTGAGTGAACCTTAAGCCGGCTACCTGGGATTGAACCCAGGTTGTGAGCAGAGCTTTGGCTGCAGTACTGCACTTTAACCACCACACCAGAACACTCTTTTGTTAAAGCACTCTCTGGGTGGTTTAACAATTATTCAGGTGACACAATGCTCCCCCAGCAAGTTGGGTCCTCAATTTACCAGCCTTGGAAGGATGTAAGGCTGAGTGAACCTTAAGCCGGCTACCTGGGATTGAACCCAGGTTGTGAGCAGAGCTTTGGCTGCAGTACTGCACTTTAACCACCACACCAGAACACTCTTTTGTACCCTGTGTAGCATCGTTGTGCACCAGATTCTTGTTTTCAAAGCCTTCCCTGCCCCCCCCAGGTTTCGCAAAGTATAAATAATTGCCAGAAAAGATAGCCAAAGCAATGGACAAAGGAGGCCAGGAGAGAACCATTAGAGGGGGCTGCAACTCTGCTACGGGTAGTGGTAAGATTTTTCATACATGCTGATCTGATTTTATAATTGCTGTAGTCTAGGCTTTTGATTAAAGAGTTTGTTAAAATACTTTTCGTAGATGTGACTTAATGGAGAGTTGATAATTATAACCCCAGAATGGCAAAGCTGGAAGGGGTCCCGTGGATGATTGAATCCAGCCCCACTGGCCAATTGAAATCTCAACCTCTGGGCTCTGCAGCCAGATATCGAAACCACTAAGTTTTATAACAGAGAAAATATGACTGTGCAACACTTTTGAACTGAGTTTTCTCTAACACTATAGATACTATCTTATTTTTTCATCTTGAGGCACCATTGTTCATGTATATTAGGGCAGAGGTTGTCAACCCCTGGTCCGCGACCCAGTGCTGGTCCATGGCCTGAGCCAAACTGTGAAGACAGACCTCCCCCCCGCACGCACTCCCCTCCCCACAGCTGCTTTGTGCGCACACACATCTGCCAGCGCCGGCGTGAGCTCTCCCCCACCCCTTCACGCGTGCGCCTGAGCGAAGGGGTCGGCGCTCGGGCCTGCAGGTGCTCCTGCACATGCGTGAAGGGGTGGGGTAGCACTCACACTGGCACTGGCACCACCACTTTGCACATGCGCCCGAGAGTGCCCGCACAAGCGGGGGAACGTGCCCTGCCTTCCTCAGAGACTCAGCCGGCCCACAGTCTCAAAAAGGTTGGGGACCGCTGAATTAGGGCACCTTTAACTTTTGTTAGAATAGTTACTCGTAGTCACATTCACATTCCTATAACGTATTACGGTTTCATATGTATTTCAGTTTTTAAAATATTCCATAGATCATTTAGTAAATTAAGCCCATATAATGGATTGATATCTGCTTGCTTCTGCTTGTTCAATAATAATTAGAGATTTTCTTGGGCATTCCATTTATCTTTCTTGCAAAGAAGTTAAAGGATATTCAGAAGGAAAAAATAAACTGTACAAGGTGCAAAATATTCTGAGTCATATTTTGGGGATAAATGACAGCTGTAAAAAACGCAGACTTCTAGAGGTCTGCAAAGTTCTCTAGGGGTTCTTCGAGAGAGGTTCAAACATCAGCTTCCCTGACCTGACATTAAAGCATTTCATGGGTATAAGCCACTTTAACACCCATCACCCATTCCATGCAGCAGAGAAAGTGTTGAAATGTTTGGAAAGTGGAAAGAACTTCATTCACACCACCATCCACAATTTTCTTCAGATTTCCTGACTATTATGTTGTTTTTAAAGGAGGTTTTAACATGGGAGACGAAGCCGGGGAGACCAGATGAAGCCATGAACCCAAAGGTTGATTATGATAATAATGCTATT